CAATTTGGTTCACTGATGGAGAGTAAGGCGCAAGACGCAGGGCGCTAAGCGGATCATCCGCAGTTCTACACCTGTGACTGTCTTGATATACGGACACACCAAACCGGCCCAAACACTGGTAGCTCACCCTAACAGGGTCATCTCACAACCTTCGTCTTCTGATGTTCTTATTTGGAAGTATAGAGGGGATTTCATGTATAAAATTATGTTCTAGACTTACCCGCTTCGAGCCGAAGATGTAAACGTACGGTAAGCGAGCGAGTAGTTGCAACCAAATGGACGTACGCCAAGTGGCATGCAAATATCTCTACTAAATCACCAGTTAACACTCCACTTTATTGGTCCGTAAATTAGTTACTTTTTTCCTTCATTACGGCCAAGCGTTGTCTATTTGTCGCCTTATATACCATTGTACGGTCATCTTTGATTACGCATAACGGTTTCACGTGCCGTTATATAAGGAATTGAGTGTTATCAGCCTCACGAAATTATGGGCTTTGCAGGTACAACTACCGTAGGAAGGGACAATCAATTCGGTGTACTGCATACACCATGACATTAAGCGAGGCTGGCTGTGACAATGCAGTGCATACTCGCCTTGCAAGCAAATTGCCGCAGTCATATTTCGACATAATCTCTTCAAAGACGGACACCTTTCACCTGGTATTTCGGTTGTACAGACCGCTTTTGTCGCTTTACTCGCAAGCTTGTCAAAACGGTTTGGCACCACCGCGCTCGGGCATTCGCAGCCATGCACGTGCTTTCCGGACAAACTGTCGTCGAATGCCAGAGCGTTGGTAGGTCGTCCAAAACCTGCACCAGTGCCAAACTATCCATAAGTTGGCTGATGGGATGTGGCATTACCGTGTTCGGAGCCACCCACTGGTATCCTTCGAAAGGCATACCTGGCAGTGCACTTCCTCCCCTTGAACTCTCCACCCAGTCGCACCACGCGTTGGGGCAAATTTGTGCCCCTAAGCTGCGTGGAACTAACTTCAGTGTTGGCACTCGTTGCTGAATGGAGGCTAGACCGCCCACGCGTCGCCACTAGATACTACCAACTCAGACCTCCATGCAAGGCTTATTATTTCTACCATCGGTGAATGATTTTAGTTAACTGAATTCCAAGGACACTGCGCCGACTTAGTGCGGCGGATGGATCACAGAAGCAATTTAAATGTGTTAAATACGAAGTTCCATTTGCTTGTGGATGCAAATCAAAGCCTTATGGAACAAATCAAATTTACTATGTCTATATCATTCTGGATAATTTGTGGGCACTTATTCGCAGCGGTGTTTTCTTTTTGCCTAGCTCAGTGTTCTTAACCATGCACTGGAAACTGTCTAAATGCGGACTCGAAGCCTACCACAGTCAGCTGGAATGTGCAGTGCTGTTGATTTCCAAGTTTGAAACGCGCATCCAATGCTTTTCCAGGCGTGTGATGACCGTCTTTGTAAGACTAGATGTGACGAATTTCCACCTATGAAATTGAAGGTCTATAATCCTGGTTTCGTTCACATAACACTCGACAGTACCGTGTGTAACCACGGTTCTTGCTGATGTTTTACTGACACAGAGGCTTTCTTTCGTAGTGCAGATTTTGTGGTGAACAGCTGCTGACTGGTTTTCGCTTGTCGACCTTCAGGTTAAGGTCAAATTAGTGGTCCCTCGTGTGTCCTTGCGTCTTATAATCGCAAATAGAGCAGCTAATGTAAGTCGCTTGCTAATGTCGCTGCCGCAAGTGGTACGTTGATAAGCGCCTGAATATGATGGGTTCAAAATAGAAACACCAGCTCTGTGCTGCCCAACGACTTGTTACTAGTGTGTTGATTTGTGAACACAGGCAATTTATCGTGCAGCGGACAGAGCAGCAGCCACGCTCATCGTCCTAGTCACAGTTGATCTCTCAGCCGTTGACCAGAAAAGCATCAATCGACGGAAATGCGACGCTTTTAGCTGACAGGACCGATCAAAGAAACCGACCTGTACTCAGCCAAACTGAAAGCAGTATGTAAATTAGCTTCATGCTAGAAAAGTAAACGAAGCAGAATCCAGCGTTCCACTTGCTTAATCAAATTCCCGCTATGTTTTAAGCTCACGGTAAACCAACCGAACATGAACAATGGCAGGTTAGAGTCTTTGTGGTTCTGTACAGTATTTGAGGCCATCCCATTGGTCACGACTGAACAGGTACTTACTCATAACTACAATAAACTTGTGAAAACGAGTGAATAAATCAGGAAATTTAAAATCGCTTCATGAGACAACAGCGTGATAAATAGTAGGCTCCAGTTCTCCCTACTAGGCTCCATTGCAAAATTGAGGAAGGAGGCTTAGTAGTGCGCTACAAAGGCACCCTCCATAATATTGGACAACAGACAGTGTGCTAATACCACCAGTGACCCATATAAGTCAAAAACAACTGCCTCCTGTCCGACTGCAATAATACGAGCAAACACTTTTCCATCCTAAAACCGTTCTGACATTTCAATTGTGCAATGACACCAACGTTGTTTGAAACATGACTATTTCTAAAGAGACCCGGACACATGGGCCTTTTAGTGCCAAATCTGAAGCCAAATTAAACGAAAAATTCAATTCTATGCTTACGCGGCCTGCACCGATGTTATGAAGACCTTCGGCGCGGTTACCCTCAACCCAGCTGCAAAATGATCATCAGTAGAACTCATATCCATCAGTATCGAGGTCAAATTCCATAAAGGAAACCGAACTCGAAAATGCAATCCAGTGAAACTTAATGTGACATCCTGAGCGCTGTAGATAGCCCACCAATTTGTTGCGGATAACTGGTCACTCGTATTCAAAGCAGTATGGTGAACCAAGAATCCTCAGACAGTTTGCCTCCGGAATGTGTCAAGTTTTATTAACATCATACCGTATATTCAGTGGATCGTGCAAAAGCAGGCGAAGCATGACTTGGGAAAGTACCAGAAGCAATCCGTAACCAGGACCATCCTTGTACTCAGCGTTTCCGAGGCTGGATGACATGGTGAGCGTAAAGCCTTACTCAAAGTGAGGGAACAGTGGCGCTGCATTAATGACATCCTGCCTTTGAATAGCATCGTGTCGCAATCTATCTCGAAGCTGCGTAGATCACCAAGCTACAAAGGATGTGGCTTGAGAATTGGGGTGTTGCTTCTATAAAGATATGTCAACAAGGGCATTGGAATGTTGGTATGCAGGTCGCAGAAAGCAAACTTGTGGTTTCCGGATCAAGGCGCCGTCCCCTATGCAAACACACTAGAGCGTCAATGAAATCGAACCTCTTTCCCACAAATTTTTGGATAAACTTAATCCTCCGTTCGAGGAAGCTGGTAGACACACTCCATACTTTACATGCGAAGATATGAGTAAGAAGGAAATTACAGAACCCCTGGATCTGAAAAAAATGATTTGGTCACCCCATCCAAAAACGTTTAGTGCCCGACAATTCACCGGTCGGTGTGACATTACTTTTAAAACAAAGGTCCTCAGAATCACTACTAAGATCCAAAATCCCTACTGTATGTATGCCAGACCAAAAGGTAACTTCAACAAGATGACTAAACTAAACGCCAAGGATCATACACTTGGGACCACACCTTCGTTAAGGAAACCTGGCTGTATTCAGCAATTATCGACGCCGGAGTAGCGATAGTTGGTATGTCCATTAAATGAGGTTGGTGATTTTATACTATCGTAGTTCGCTGCAATTGGAACCAAGGTATGATACAGAACCGTGGGGATATATTCGCTTTGACACTGTCAACGACTGGGATGCAAAAACACTTGTCTTGTGGCAAATGTTTACCACATGTCCACCATAGAGATGGACTCCCTTTTATTAATTTCAAAAAGGCAATTGATACGGAGAACAGCAAATCATTGTAGCTGGTGTTGGGTAAGTTTG